GCAGGGATCCAAAGAATCGCTCCCTTCTGGAGTTTTTCTGCAAGCATTTTGTGAAGCAACGAGTCATTATTATCGAGAGATTTGATCATTAAAAAAGGCATAGCTTATCATTTATAGACGTCCTGGATCTACACCCTCCATATCGCCCATTAAGTTCATTTGATCTTTCTTTGCAATCCAGTGTTCTATGTCGTCTCAATTTTTTCATTTGCCGGGTCGGTATGCACGTGGCAAAAGTGGAGTCTGAACCTAGTCGGGGCCTAACACATGTTCCAAATAATTGGAATAAAAGATGCGTCAGATAATAAAAAAATGCCTCACTTTCACATATACTCCAGTAAACTTGGTACACATTTAATTCATTTTGTACAATTTCCCGATAACCTTTACATGGCCATGGTGAACCGACTCTTTGCAGGAGGTGCCGCGTATGGGGTTCTGCCGCGGGCGTGCTGCGCTCGCAGACATAAGGTTCGGCACAGACGTCTTAGGGAGTGCGCAAAGGCATTTTTGTTCTGTTCGCTACAGCCGTAGATGTAGACAACCGGTGATGATGCTGGTGTAATTGTTGGTTTCGTTTTGTTATCGTTTTGTTTCGATTGTTTATAATTTCGTGTTTGTTGTTATTGTTTTTTTAAGTTTCACTAGCTGTAATTAATTGCGTGTGCCATTGGTCCTGCTATCGATGTGGCTGTACCCGCTGTTGTAATTGTTGTAAGTCATGCATGTTGTTCCTGATGCTTTTAATACTGTTGCCGCCCATGTTGTTGTTGTTTTGCTGCCTATGTCGTTGTTTCTGCTGTCACTGTTGGTGTTCTTGGTGTTACTGCTGTTCTTTGTTGTTATTGGTGTGGTGAAGCGAGTTTTCAGAAATGATAAGCTTAAGGGTCGAGGAGCTGGATTGACATAGGACCTCGCGGCCAGGAAGGGGACGGGAGACCTGAAGGTCACTAGAAAAAATTGCCATTGGGTCCAACCGTGACGAGCGGTTAAGTTACCACAAACGGGGTCATACCGACCAACGATACCAGTTAAACTGTACCGATATGGATCGTTCTCAACCATTGGTCGGTCGGCCTGGTCGCTCAAGGTGGACCTCGGCTCCCCGTAGGCCAACCTCGCCACCCATCGGTCGGCCTGGTCGCCCAAGGTGGGCCTCGGTCACCCGTTGACCGACCTGGCCACCCATCGGCCGACCTGATCACCCATAGGACGACTTGGCCTCTCAAGGTCTGGTGGCTCCTGGCCACTCCTCATAGCGAACCGAGGTGCAAGGCAAGGCAGGGATTGAGTAAAGGAGTTTAAAGGTATGGACGACATTAAGTACTACTTACTTCGCGATCTCAGTAACACGACGTGTCGTTTGTAAGAAACATGTACGTCTACCGACCTATTCCGGGCATCGATCTGTCTGGCCCATCCGTCGAATATACGGTTGTCGGTGAATCTCATGTGTAAGTAGAAGTCCAGGAAGTACGGTGGCTTGTGGGTTTGTAGAGTAGCCCCCCTAACTCAAGCCCGCTACAGGAAGCGGTCTCCATACCCTAGTGGTAAGGGAGAAGAAACGTAAAGGCCAGGCGGTAAGCACCCCTGAGACAACTGGTTATAAGACCACTCTAGATCAAGTCGATTGAGTTGCCGCCTAAATTGGACTCCGACTGAGGCAAATCCGCTCGGGGGGCCCCAGGTCGACCTCCAACAAGGCCGACGTCTACGATCATCACCTAGTCCTCCGAACAGCGAAACCCGCGAGCCGACGTGCACGCAAGGTGACTCAAGGTCCAAAAGCGGCATCGGAGTGCCCCCTCCGACATTCGGCAGTCCTGCATAGTGAGTGGTTTGGAGTCTCGTCAAACAGTTTTGACAACCCACTTTACGACATTGGTACCAGAGTGCTGCTGTTGTTTTCGTCGTCTGGTTAAGGGATATGATTACGTTTCCTGCTCGTAATATCTAGTTACTTACCCTTTTTATTTAATAGACTATCACGAGTCAATTTTACGTGTTTGACACTTGTTATCGATTCATAAGGGCTTTACCATTTCTAATGGATACATTTTTGCGCAGTCGCAGGAATAAGTTGGTGCTGTTGCAGGAATAAGTCGGTGCTGTTAATGAGTTTTAAACTCCAAAGATAACCCGATGTACGTGGAGAGCTCAAGAGGAATCAAATCACACACAAGACGTTCGACTTAATCGAAGTGTTAAGTCACTCCAGCATTGGTCAAATTCTAAAGGATTTGATATGCTTTGTATTCAGCGTACAATACGGACTTCAACAAGATTTCACCGTAAACAATCCGCCAGCACATGGCATGAGGTCATCTACTGGTCATATCTAGTGCCACACCACCCGCTGCGTTGTTCCGTGTGTTTTAGAACATATTAGCGTATTCTTATATAGTACATTAGTAGTAATTGGTGGCGTTTTTGTATGTTTAAGAACTGCACACCCGCTAAAAACCGACCTAAATTTTCTCTAAGGCATCTAGCTTGAAACCTTTTTCACGTTACAGATATGTAATGACGGAGTGTAGCATTGATACGCAAGCATAGCATAATTCTACTCTGTTACAGTGAAATTCTGCGTGATCGTAATAAAGAACTAATGTATTTTGGAAAGTCAGACGTATCAGCATTTTGTGTGTGAAAGGAAATTTAATCGGGTGAGTCCTACATCGAAGCACAATGTCAGTATGTGTGTACCACATCGACGTTAGAATACGAGGACATAAAGCGTTTTTTCGTTTTCTAATTATTTAAGATATTTTTTATCCTCTAATTATCTAAATTATTTTACAACTTTGTAATTTAATGTGGCATTCGTTGTTTTCTAATTATCTGAACCTTTTTTCGTGCAAAAAGAGGCATTATTTTTGTTTTTAATAATGGCATTTTTTAATATGATAAAATGAGAAAAACTTTTATTCTGGGGATTCTTAAAGTGTAATGTGCTTCTTGAAAATGTCCGCAAGATGATAATTGCTAAGTTTGTTTCTTTTAAGATGAATGCATTCCTCCTTGTTTGCAGGTCAGATAGCAGAATTTGCACCTTCTTCACTCCTCGGCATAGTGCTGCCACCGTCTTGGTGGCTTGACGTTCTGTCGCAGCCAAAATAATTAAATCGAGTCTGTAAGAGATAGCGATACCTGGAAATGCGAATAGATCGACCATATCGCCTCATGGCAGCTGGAAAAAAAACGTGACCACATTAAGCACTTGAGTATTTTTGACATCAGCTCAAACCTAGAGTAGTCGTACACTTCAGCCATATCTATAGCGCGCAGAAATAGGACAGGTCGCGTGGACACGGATAGAATAGGTAGCTCTTGATGATGCCAACGCGAACCATACCTGCTGATGTGCATCGCAGGCCCGAAAAGAACATGTGACGTTAGCCTAATTTGAACTCGGGCATCACGCAAATAACATCATGGGCTGTAAATGATAACTATCCCGAGGCAATGAACCTTGATGTTTATTTACTCATTACTTTGTAACGGTGCAGACTGTGGCCGAGAATGCCTGACTGCTTTCCACCTCTCTCGTAAAGTCTCCTTACATTTCAATTCACACTTGGCGATCGGCTTGTACATTTCGCAATCAATAATACAGCTGTTCCACTTCGCTTGCCTGCCGAGCTTTACGGGCTATTCCAAGCGATAAGTAATGCTTCTCGACCAACTAAAATATTTAACGGGCAGCCAAACTCTGGTAGAAGCTCTCTTTCGCCTATTGTAGATGGGCGGTGGACTTTAGATGGTGTTCCTTCGCTGTACGCACTGTATGCACTCTCAGAGCTCGTCCTGCCTTTCCATACTCCGTGCGAATATCATTTGAAGCACGTAGGCAAAAGCTACATCCTTGACAGAAATTATGCTCTCACATTAATTGTCAAGGGTCTCCTTTGGTGTCCAGCGCGCCGGTGACCTTATCACCGGTTGCGTTTAATTTTCTAAAGGCGTTCCAGCGGCATAGAAGCGATGTTTACGTTCGTGTCGACAATGTAGCTTACGCTATGGAAAGGATGGATCGAACAAGGAACGTGTATGTCCTACTGTCTGACCTGCGAATACAGAGGAGCGCATACACCAAGAAAAGAAACACTAGGCGCTTGTCTGAATGAAGGCATTTTGCAAAAACCACTGGGCATTGTAAATCCCCTCTTACTTTCCCCGGCATTTAAAAATTTCCCCTGCCGTAAGGATTTCTTGTTTGCCAAGAGATCACGAATCTAATATCACTCATCAGTTTGCACCCAGTTGTGTGCGTTCTGGCTATCGCGATACGTTCCCACTTCCTACAGCAACTGCATCGGGCAACAACATGAGATGTACTGTGTCGTCAAAACATTGAAGGCGGATGATAAGGTCTTAAATGCAAAGCAACAAACGCCAACCGACTTAGTGCAAGTAGAACATGTTATGATGTTGCACAGCACCTCGAACATCAGGAACTGTGTGCTGCAGTGTCCGTATCTGCTTTAGCGCGGTGTCGTATTTTATCGTAGCAAGCGTCGCAATCTGCTACTTTACAGCATTCAACGCGAAGTCGTCTCGCTCGGGGATATACATAGCAATCCGTGTTTTGCCAATCGCGAGGTTGTAGTGCCGCATTCCGTGCAGAATGCATTGACGTGGTATCTATCTTATAACACTGGAGCCACTTTGTCGAATGTGTCCCTGATGACGATAAGAAGTATGTGGTAGCGCATAACGTCAGGAATTGTTCGTTCAGGAACCGGCACTGATGGGATTTATGTCCACGTCCGGCGGATTCTTACCACGCGCGTCTAGACCGGCTACAGCAGCGACCGCTACCTTCGAATTCAACGGCCACAACACCTGCTACGCCTTAAGAAGGCGGTTTGTCGTTGGGTGGTAGTGCGCATTTACTGCAGCCCGGCTGCAACACTTGGACAGTGCTTTGTTCGTCTTCGAGGTCATACAAACTAATCGTGAAAGCGGCGACGACGGATATTGAGCTGAGCTTGAGTAACATGTCAGCAAGCGTGAATACGACCGAAGTCTTGCGGTATTCGTGCCATACATTGTCACCTTTGCGCCCGAAGTGCTTCTTCATTCACAAGGTCATGGTACTGTCGTTGACCAGTAGTTAGTTGAACGGGTTCCAATTGGAATGACTGACATGCTCGAAAGACTGGGTTACAACGTGTACGTTTAGCTGCCCATTTCCAGACAATTGCGTGGACCGCAACATCTACGCATTAGTCGTGTTGATTTCCGTCCTGACTCTGGACCTACCCAGAGTGGATCACTTGTTCTATCTACTGTGGCGTATCACCACGACACGCGCGTCTTCGCGGTGATGGTTAATGTACGACAACTGAATATCTACTTCACTACGAAGGATCGTGACGCCCGACATCAGAAGTACAATGCTGTCGCGGGATGAAGTAGACGATGGAGTACATTTTCTGATAATGCCCATGTGCACAGAGGCGTGCGGATAGAAAGTTATTTGCCACGGGCGGGCGCTAAGCGTTGAGAAAACTGCGAGGGCTATTTTTACATCGTGCAAGCAGACACACACTGGAGCTGTGTAATGTAGTCAGGGACCACATCCTGCGAGATCGTTCTTACGGGAACAACTACGTGTTTGAGAATGAGCACGATTGCCGTGTACTGAGCAGCCTTTGTTTGTACCTCTAACTTACACCTTGTCCTATTCAGGAATGCCGGCGTGTTCAGCTTTAGCCTCGAGGTGACAAGGAAGACGATGATACTGATTCGAAGATCACGTTTCTTCTTACGAAACATCTTAGCTCTGTTGTAGTCTAGAATTGGAATAATACAGACCTAAGTAGCAATCACTTCGTGCGTACAAAGGCAACCTACCAAAGCTTACACTTTTTCGTTGGGTTCATGGGTGAGCCAGCAGGGCACGAAAACACGCGTGCGAAATCGTGCGAGTTGCTTGCAGCTCCATTTATGCGCCACTGGTTAGGCGAGTGCGGATCTGTGGCCAACATCTCAATCATGCTGGCGTCACTCACCTTAGAGCAAAACTCCTGGGCGAATGAGATGAAGAAAAGCTTGTCAGCCACATCGGCAGGTATGTCAAGCTTTGGCTGGCTTTGCAAAACGGTTGTTGCTTCATCTTCGTTGATCTTATTCAGCTCCTTGGCCTGCTTGGCGACGTAGGTCCGATATGCGTGGAAGGACAACTTTAGACCACCGTTGTCCGCGATGTTCTCGCTGAGAGTGAAATTGCCATTGACGTGACCCAGCACTTTGTCCTGATCGTCGCCACTTGTCACCGCAAACTCATCGTATTGCCTCACAAAACAATCAGTCCGCTGTAAGAACTTCGTTTCCGTGTCATTGCTCCACCAGTCCCGCAAGTTGCCGCCACCATCAAATTGTCTTCCAGAGGCATCGAAGCCATGCGTGAGTTCGTGCCCAATGATACTACAAATCGCGCCGAAATTGCGTGCAGGGTGTTGTTCGCGAGCGAAAAACGGCCGCTGGAGAATCCCGGCAGGGACGGCAATCTGGTTTGCTGTTGGCTGGTAGTAAGCGTTTTCATCAGCGCCTGTCATAGCCCATTCGTTGCGGACTACACGGCGACCGATCCGTGCCACATCTCGATCAAAGTAGTGCTTCCAGATCATCCGCATGTTTTTGACGAGTGGCGCGTCACCGCGCAGTTTGTGCGGGAAATGTTCGGTGCGGTTCGAATACCCGATGAGGTTGGTCATGTTGCCTAACTTCTCAAGAGCTACCTGACGAGTGGGTCCGTCCAGCCAATCCACCTGCTCAAGATCCTTCTCAAACGATGCTTGGACGTGCATCACGAGCTGGTCGGCAAGTCGCTCACTAGCCTTGTCAAAACGATGAAGTGCAAAGTACTTGCCAGCCAAATCAGGAAAATAGTCTACAACACGCTGAACACACACCTTCCATCGCGGAGCACGTCTTCTTTGGCCCCCGAGCGTTTGCGCGAAGAAAGAGAAAGACGCCTGGACGAAAGGCTCACTCAAGGCACTTGCATGGGCGTTGATGTATTGGTACGTAAGCACGGCTTTCAGAGTGTCGAGCGTCACAGAATCTCCAGTCACGAGATCCCCAACACGCTCAAAGAACGAAGGCGTTTGGACAATGACACTAGCGTTCCGAGCAACTAGGTTCTCCAGCATCCCCTTCCCATCCATGAACTGTGCGACGAGTAACGGGTACTTCTCAGCGGCCTGAGCTACAGTCATACGATTGTATGTTGCCACCGGATCCTGCAGCTCTTCCTTCGGTACGAACAACGGTGCGATCGTTTGCTCAAAAGAAATTACTGAGGAAGCTTGCGATGCTGCTTTGTGTGATTCCAAGCCAACCAGCGAAAACAACTCCACGACGTACGCATGAAATGCGTCACTGATCGATTTAAACATTTTGTGGTCCAGGTAGTACTGCGGATCCGGCAGCGAAAGACCCGTCTGGGACGCGTACAGCGCGTACGCGGTCGCCTCTCTAGCATCTGCCGACACTCCGAGCCCCGTAAAAAAATTAGGCCCTACTATTGACAACTTGCCAGCCAGCTGAAACAATTCGCTTTTGCTCGTCACAGCTGCAATTTGCTCAAGTGCTGGCGACAAGACAGACACCGACGCTGCGTCTGCTGTCGCGCTGCTTGTGTTGCTAAAATTCATGCAAGAGTCGTACAGATCGCCGAGTAGTGGCCATCCTTGCTGCATCACTTTTTTCAGGACCTTTTGGTTCTCATCGTGCACGGTGGTAAACGACAGATACACGCTCGACTGGTCGTCAGGGATCTCAGCTTGTTTAAGCCACGACCCGCAACTAAACGCGTACAGATCGTCGCACGGATCCACTTGAGTGTCCAGATGACTCACAACGTCTTGTGGCAGCAGCTCAATCCAATCAGCCGCGTCAGTGGTATCCTCTTGAAGCTCTTTTGGAGGGTGCAACGGACCACCACGAATGACTGGGATGAAGGCGACAAGGAGCAGCATGCCCAGACTCCCAATTGTCCAGGACGCGTGCGACTTTTTGTGTGCTTGAAAACTGGCGGCGAGGAATCATCTGCATCCTCTTGAAAGCCTTGCAGTTTCTTGCAATTGACAAGTGACTGCTTGTCGTCTTGCGCTTCTTGATGGTGCGTAGATACGGCACCATCAACGTCCACGGGAACGCCTGTCTCCTGGAGAAGAGTTTTGCCATTGTCGTACTTGATGGCCGCGAACAAGGGCGTGTCAGGCGCATTTCGAGTCATGCCGGGATGCGCGATTCCAACCGAAAAGTCAGAGTCTACTTGCCGTTGACTGATGAGGTTGACTCTGGAGCGCAAATTGCGAAATGACCGATCCTGAAGGCGAGATGAGTAGCAAACAGGACTGTAGCTCCCTTCGTGTGTCATTGAGGTTTGTTTGCTTACGACTGCACGCTAAACGGGCATTGTCTGATCCGAGCTATACTGTGTATCCTAAGGGCTTTTTCTACCATTCTTTGCTCCTGCGCTTCGCACGTGATTTTGGGTGCAGCACGGACCAATCCCCGTCGAGACCTGTAACATGCGTCGTCTTTGTGCGCGCATCGTGATTTCCTCGAAGCACATAAGTCGGGCTTGTTGTTCGCTGAAAGCAGCTTTCCAGCAAGAAGTAGGATTGTGAGCCTTGTTGAAATTCATCGCAGGGCGTTGTCGCACCAAATGAGAGCTTGCGCATTGTCGACTTCAATGTAACTTTTTGTCCACTTCCACGTGACTTGGCAAATTGGTACTCATTGCAGGGCACTATCGTTCCGAATGTTAGCTTGCGCATTGTCGACTTCGACGTGATATCCGTCCATTTTACGTGATTTTGTAAAAGATGCGATGGTGCTTTTTTACTTAAATCGCTGAAGCGATCATGTGCGATTCAAATCTGATCGTACCAACGACTTGCGCATGGTCGATGAACACTTGGGTTTCGTATGTGATAGCAACAGTCACTCTCTCGATTAATTTAGAAGCCTGTCTGTCACTTACGCGAAAAATGAACTGCGACAGCGAACTGATCACGGTAGAGTCTGTTGTGGCTTCGTCACGGATTACCCAAACCATGACGTATTACTATCTCAGTACAAGGCCATTGTAGAGACGGTCGGTCCGTGACATTATGCTACCTTTCCGGTTTTGGTAGGCATTCTAGTTTAAATTATGGGTTTGAATTTAATGCTAAAAATTTGAAAAGGATCGTCAAAATACGTTTATCACATTTGTATTACTATTAATATTCTTTCGTTAAAGTTAATTTGGGCTCCGTGCCTCGCGGAATGGAGTGGGATTGGCCTATCCCGCGTGTCATCCCGCCCAGGATGGGATATCACGCAGGACACTGGGACGAGGTCTTTGAACATGTACCCTGCTATAAGAAATACCGCAGACCTGCGCACACTTGAGCGCTTCCATATACGCTGAGGAAACCAAAGATTAATAAATACAGCCAAACAGGCATTATAAACCGTTAGTGGTTGATACTTACTTGCTTCAACGGGTATGGAGGCAATGTGACATGTTAAACACGAATTCAATTGGTACCACAAAGGGTCTACTCTTGCAACATATTCTTGGCAAAAAGTACAAGCTGTACAAAATGCTCGAAAGCGATCCCCAAGCTTGGTGGAATCGGAAAATAATTTGACAAGCTTATGGCAATTACAGATAGGTTCAGCTGAGGCGCAACAGGTTTGGTCCGGAAACCAATAGGTCTATCTGGTCGTCTTTTGAGGCAACTGAACTGTCTTTACAAGCATCCCCAAGTGCCCTGATGCATGCCTCGGAAGAAACTGGATATCTTCTTTATCTAAGTAACGAACAGGACAATGGTTGCGGGTATAAAGAGACTATTTATAGAATCTCGACGTTATATATGAGGAAACGTTAATCACTCCCCCAGGTTTTCGTTAACCACCCCCACCCCCTATATATTACCGTAATTTACTCGATGGACGCGTTCCGAATGGTAGAATTGAATATATCACCGGTTTACGTAGTAATTTACTATTTCATTTACAAATGATAAAACATTAAATCTGGATAATTGATGCATGTCTATAAGTCGGCGACGTGTGATAATTTACATATCAGATACTGCGATTATCCTGGATGGACACTGAAACAAAGGCATTCATTAATGCTACATTCGAAATTGACTTTAAGCCAGCTGCAGAGGTCTATCATGAGGTATGTGTGTAGTCGTGATACGTGTATAATTGACTAACTAGACTAACACGTAATTTGATGATGGTAGTGGCTTAACCTCTTCCCATCGGCATGCACATCGCGGCTACTCTCTATCCCACGCATTATCGACTGACTCTTCATCCAACAGCGCGTCCTGCTCCAGATCAAAAAGATTCGAGTCAAAAGACGAAAAGGGCGAGATGCCAAATAATGACCGGGCTCGTGTGGTGAGGGTGAAGCCTATCGATCAAGGTACTGTTGTTGCGGCAGCTTCCGAGATGCTCGCTGATAGCCAAGCTGCTGTTGGTGATGGATAGCGCGTTCGCTCTAGCGCTAGCTCTGTAAAGAAGAGGGACGTTGCAGATACTTTGACTGCTACGCCGGCGATGAGTGGAAGTGTTACACTAATGAAGTTCAAGTTCAGCGGCATCTCGATTAAATCTTGCGACTTGACAACGCTACGGTATTCAAGCGCTGAAAGAAATTACTCAACAATTGATAAAAATAGCCTGTAAGCGATTACATGATGCAATTATTGTGTTGGAGTTGGCTTTCAGTATTTAGCAATATGACATTTAATTTATAATCAATCAAAAATATGGAAGGTACATTTATTACGATAATATGTAGGGGGTGGGGGGCGGTTAACGAAAACCTGGGGGGTGGTTAACGTTTCCCTATTTCGATCAAATTATGAATGTGGGAAGTACGGGACGTACGAGATGCTGATATGGGAAGCTGCGGGACGGGTTCCTAGTTTAGATTGGTCATCACATTAGAGTGTGTTTTTCAAACTAATCGAAACTTTTGTTGAACCTCGTATTGGACCTTTTACTGAACCTATGTAAAAATCTAATAACTTTTAGGCTTTTTGGAAACTCAGCTGATAGTTAAGCGATGCAGACGAATCAATTTGACACACCCGATCATTGCAACCATTATAAGCGGTATTATACTCTTTCTGCTACTTAAACGACTGCATACCCGCAAGCCACGCGTGTTACGAACTCTCTGCAAGCTTTTTTGGGAACAAGACGTCCTCATGTGCACAGAAAATGTAACGGGGCACCCTTTGTTTGGGGTGCCCCGAAACTTGACTAACACTAGTACGTGCAGAGGATGCTAATCTACTCAAACAGCTAGTTTAAGTAAAGTGTAACGGGGCACCCTTTGTTTGGGGTGCCACGAAACTTCACATACATTAGTACGTGCAGAGGAAGCTGACTACTCAAACAGCTAGTTTAAGTAAAGGCTAAAAAGAGAACTGTATCTAATATAGTGAAGCTATCAATATAACTTTAATCTTTATCTAACTATATTAATCTACGTCGTTGTATGACGACAACCTGCTCACCACTCATTGCGCGCGTCTAGCAGCGATTAGTGGCAATCTATGGTTGATGTGTCTTTTATCAACCAATCTTGGAGCAGCGCATGAATGTTATCCTAAAAGAAGATAGTATTACTTCGATATTATCTGTCTCGGATAAAATTGTTAGAGAATTGTCACGCTTGACAATCTCCCTACTGACACCGTTTGGTGTCAATTTTATGTAACAGGCTACCCCGTTACATCGCCCCCATTTACCATCAATCACCCGTTGATATAATAGAATTGATTGGGACACAGGGACCACCGTTGGATCACTCTGGGAAGGGGAGCACTTGTTGGTCACGTTTCATTCATTTACCAATCCAACGCATGGTGTCAAAGTCCATGCGATGTGCTGCCGAAGCAGCAAGAAAAGCGGATGCACGCATACGTGCAGTTGAAGAGAGTACTTCTCTTGCTTCATCAGCAGGTGATACTTCTTCTGCTGTTTCGATTCAGCAACAGGCGGCCTGTTGTGAACAGCCCACGTGGTGAGTCACCACGTGCGACAGAAACATCCGCTACGTCTGCAGCGGGCACTTCAAATCGCAATGTAGATGACCCTGAAATAGAGCTCATCGATTCCGGCGAGTCGGATGCATCATCCGACTCGAACGCGACAGTCTCGCCTCCGGATCATCCGGGGCGGACACTCAAAGAGGCAGGTTGATTGGATCTGGGGAACGTGGCGGCATCATGTCCAAGATCTTCGGACCAAGCAATTCTTCTGACAAATCCTCGCCTCACGCAAGTCCATCCGACGATAGGACGCCTGGTAATGTTAATGATGCCCCTATGCATCACCGCGAGCGGAGTAACTAGAGAGACCGAGCTGCCCCTGGTGTCAGTGCTCGTGCTGACACCACTCAAGAGTCCAGGGACCAAAAATGTCCTGTGCCACGCTCCCCAAGTGGACACTCCTTAGATGTCGTCATCTAAAGCGTTAGATAGAGTGGTCAGCATGACTACTGAACGGTACCGAATCCCGTTGTTCGACTGTAAGAGGATCTGACCTCCTAATTCCAGCACGGAAACTATCCGTGCTGAGGGATAATTCTTCACCCATGTGTCTTTCAAATATCGTTGGTACAATGGTAACCTTGGTCGAGACGGTAAGGCCTTGGTGCAAGGATGGAATGACTTCATCCATAACATCGAGTGCATTGGCCGTGCGGCCTGGCTCGGTACTCTTGATGCAGATCGCATCAGGTTTGAGAGACGCAACCCAGTCGGTGTACGGTACAAGTTGCACCGACTTTCAAGAGAGGCAGAATTACCCTGTCTTCTTGGGGTGATTCGTGTCCAAGTTGCCTGGACAACTTGAACCGTGCCCCTAGGAAGGCTTACCTCCCTAATGTTCCCTACTAGAGGTCTTGCATCTCATCTGAAATGGCCGAAGCGATTGACACTTTGCAATCTCTGTACTCGCGTTCGGGGAGGTCATTTTCCGACGGCCCTTCTTCGAACGCAGTGGGTGGGTCTCATCATATTGCTCGACGAGACCAAGGACATCAACAATCAGCTGGGCACGAGGCTCCCAGCTGTCCCACGCCGGTGGATAGCCACGCCAGCGTACGAGGTAACTCGTCCGGACGCCATTCACATCGCGGTGGTTCAAAATACGCTCCACCAGAAAGCGTTGACCACCGCCAGAATCACCAAAGGATGTGGTGGTGGCGGGAACACCTGGTCCGGCTCGACGATTGGATTAGCTTGATGTTCAAGAGCTGAACCGTGTAAAAGAACAGTTACACGGTGACCTAGCTCATGGACGGCTCGACGTTACAAGCTTCATGACCCTTGTAAGGGATACTTACAATTCCTTAGCGCACGATCGTTCGAACTATTGTGTCGTGTTTGCGCTTGCGCAACTTGAGAACGAACGTTCGGTTCGTTCTCTTCGTGACGAGCTGGCTGTATCTCGTCGAGACATCGCTCAACTGCGTGAGAAGGTCGCTTCGATAGTCGACCAGACTGGCTTGTTGAAACGGGACACTCGAAGGTGGTCTCGGCTCTCGACCGCGGAGGTGTTCTTCGCATCTCGAGACAGGCTCGTACTGATAGTACGGTCGAAGACGTCCAACGTAAAACGTGGGATGCGTACGCATCTTACGGGGCAGTTCGATGTGTATGCGTTGCCCATTCGGCCCAACACACGAAATGGACCAATATATTGGGCAGTTATTTACTGCCGCCCACGTTTGTCACTACGTGTTTTGGAAGATTTACTGTAGACAGTAAAACTAGGTCTCCTTTATCGAATGAAAGAACATTTGCTTTTCCATGTTTGTCTGCGTTTTTTTCTGTCGGTCTAGTGCATCTGCAATAGAGTCTTGAACGAAGCGGACAACCGCTTCGCGAGTCAGCAGAAATCCCTCTGCTGATTCATCCTTGTCAACAGCACTGCACTTCGTTTGCACTGCTGAAACAGCTTTGTCTTCACCAGTGAGGGCGTCATCGTCCTCGCTGTGGCAGTCGTTGGCGATGCTGAATATACCAGCATTGTCGTCATCGATCTCGATTGCATTGACATCGGCATCCATCACGTCGGCACCATTGTCGACGTGTGATGAGCGAGAACCAGATCAGTTTCGTTCGAGCGAGTCCACCTCCCCCCTTAAACTAGAGTCACACTCTAAGAATACAGGTAAACGTGGATGACGTAGGCCATTCACGAAGAACGGTGGATGCGTTGTCGACGCGTGCACCGAGTTGCTGATGGCGAGATTCGCCATCTGCAAAAACTCACTCCAGCTCGTAAACGAGTGGACGTACCCTCGAAGTATCTCTTCGAGGATGCGCTTAACGCGCTCCGTCTGACCATCTGTTCTGGATGGTCAGAAGTCGACAGCTTCAATCGTGTTCTAAAGTGAATGGAACACGGATTGCCAGAACTCCGCTGTAAATCGGGGTCCCTATCGGACACGAGTTCACGGGGTAACCCGTGAAGTCAGGAGATAGTATCGATGAAGACACGAGCACAGCCCTGGGCTGTGATCGACTTCGTTACAGCAACAAGATGTACCATCTTGCTGAACCGATCAACAAAGACCAGAACACCAGTATTCTTGTGAGCGTCTTTAGAAAATCCAAAGATGAAGACCATCGATACGGACTGCTAACACTCTGCCGGAATCGGTAGAGGATGTAAGGGTGCGCGGGATGAAGGACTAGGCTTCACCCAATGTCAAGCTTTGCAAGCGCGAATGTATTTTCGCACAAACGCATACTGACGGGGCCAGTAGAAGTCACGACTCACCGTGAGGTAAGTATTTCCCCTACCGCGATGCCCACTTGTTGGGGCATCGTGACACTCATACAGGATGCGCAGTCGCAAATAATTATGAGCCGGAACGACGACACGAGGTGTGTCGCCGTTGACTGCTGTATAGTACAGCAGTCCATTACGGACAGAATGCCGTCCGGTTGAAGAGCGGAATTGAGACGACAAGCTATTCAAAGCTTGATTACACGGATTGGATACGTAATCCATCAATCGCAGAAGAGACTCATCTTCTGCGTATGCTCTTCGCACGTCGCCGAGTAGATTCGATGACGGAACAATCACTGTTAGTGTTGTGACAGTGGGATCATCCCTACTGTGGGGACGAGCAGTCGGCTCGAAATCGGGCCGACGCGAAAGAGCATCAGCAACGACATTAAGTCTTCCTTGTTTATACTCGACGGAGATGTTGTACTTCTCGAAGAAAGACAGCCACCTCGCCATTCGTTGCGAGAGGTGTGGACTGTTTACGGCCGTGCGTAATGACGCATGGTCGATATAAACGATGAAGGGTCTATCTCCTAAGAGATATACCCGAAACTTAGTCAGTGCAAATTTCATGGCAAGGAGTTCCTTTTCATGCACTGCTTAATTACGCTCGCTACTTGCAGCTGACGCGATTGATAACAGACGACGCGCTCAACGCCGTCTGAGTCGTACTGCATCAACGCGTAGCCGATAGCAAAATCGCTGGCGTCACAGACCACATGGAATGGTCTGTCCTGGTATGCAATCGCCGATACAGGCGATTATATCAAGATTTTCTTGATACCTTCGAAGGAGTGCTGACAATCAGCACTTGATGACCACCTCTCGTTTTTCTTTAGTCGACGAGAGAGATGTACGGTCATCTTGGCATAGTTGCGCGAGTACTTGTGCAAGTACGCCGCTAAGCCAAGGAACTTTCGAAGTCCCTTGACATCGACTGACACAGACCAGTCGCTAATCTCCTGGATCTTTTCCGGATCAGGGCGTACACCGTTTTTACCCACGATGCAGCCAAGAAGTGGTATTTTGTTCGCTGCGAATTTACACTCCTTGAGGTTCACGAAGAACTTTTGCTCTCGCATTAGTGTAAGAATCTTTCGGACGTGTACTTTATGAACCTCCACGTCCGTCTTTCCATCCATGGCCCGGCTGTGGACGTAGACATCGTCGAAGTAACTCGGTGCAAAATCGCGCACCGATCGCAACAGATTTGTACCACGTCTGCTGAGCTGTACATGGACGTTACTTAGCCCCTGTAGCATCACTAGCCACTCCCTGAGCATACTACTGGGGAGGCTCACTGCTTTGTACGGAATGTCCCGTTCACGCATGAGGATCTGATAGAATCCATCCATCAGATCCATGGATGAAAAGATGGTATTCTTTGGCATACCACCTACGACGACATCCTTTCTTGGGATCGGCGTTTGAGCCGGTACCGTTGCAGCATTCAACTTGTTAAATGCATGCACTATCCGCCACCCTCCTGTGGCCTTTCGCACACAGAAGGTCGGAGAGCTGTGTGGGGATGTTGATTCCCTCACATGACTAGCCGCTAATCGTTCGGCAAAGAATTTGTCGATCGCTGTGACCTGTCCACGATGCAGTGGCCACTGCTTCATGACACAGTACTTCGAACTGGTGTTCAGTTGAATCTCATGCCAAGTGCCTTTATCCTTAGGCAGCTTGCATGGCACGGACTCAGGGAAAATATCCCTGAATTCCACCAAATCCTTATGCAAAGGATTTGTCATTAAAGACCTTCAAGATTGAGACGTGTATCGCCCAATCCGGGTCTTCTGATGGAGGACAATCTCATCCATCGATGAGCTACTGAGAACCCGTTTGTTCTAAGTAAGCACTTTTGCCGACCGAATATCGGCCACGTACTCGTCACAGAGGACGAGTACGCAGATCTGCTTGATCTTGTCACTGCGCAGATCTCGCAAGAATCTTTTAGATTCTTGCGTTGGCAACTTAATTATCTCCGAAGCTGACTTTGGAGGCGTAACCAGATCGAGTGTATGAGCGCCTACATTTGGTTCGTCATTCACCAAGACATTCACTGTCTCGGTGATTTCCTGGAAAAACACATCCGCTGATCGTTGGGGATCCACACCTTTAACATAACTCTCTTGGGAGTCATCACTCTCAGATCATTTGAGCTTTCTTTCAATACGGTTACTGACTGTAGGTGTACTACCACATTTACTTCCACTTCGATCGAATTTCTTTCAGTCGATCGAGCTTGCTCTACGATCGACTTTCTGGTAGTCGATCTCGCTTCAACGTGTTGTTCATCCTGAACAACACTAATCTATTTTCTTGGATGCACCCTTCTTGATGTGCATCCATGTTCCAGTCCACTCGATCTTTTCGGGTGGTGAACCTTCGGCGCAGCCTGTGTCTCTCCCCACGCTTGTGGACACTCCAAGATGTTCATCAGATGGCGATCCGATGAACAAACGGCAGGCATCTTCACGGATCGATGCTGACAGCTGATCCATCGCTGGTATACTCTAAGCCATGGCAGACCGGGGATGACATCAAATTTGTCATCCAAATCAAGTACGAGTGAAGTCATCATCGTATTGTTTTCCTTCTAGCGTGTAGTGGATTCCCACTACACGTTTGTTCACTGTTACGGACGCGCCTGTAGCAAGGCACACCGTCATCCTCTTTGGAGGGAGCTCTCGCTCAACATAGTTGAGCCTACCATCCTCTAGCGACTGGAGTCGAATAAAACTGTCCGACGCCCCACAGCCAACTAGGGCGCGAAGTGACATTCCACTTGTCACTTCGATTTTCAAAGTGATGAGAGACTCCTCATCACTAGGGGCCGTAACACACAGCGACTGTGTGTTGGGAGCAATCTTCGTCAAGAGTCCTGCAAATTCTCTTGAAGTTGCAGGATCAGCAGGGTGCTCCGCCCCTACTGACCCTGACCGTTTTTTTACGGTCCAACTTGCTGTCGCGGCATAGCGACATGGTCGGACCTACGCCTCGGACCCTTCCTTGGCCGACGGTGGTCATCGCTTCCTGTCTTTGGACGTGATGCGGTGCTTGGGACGCTCCACTCATGCGCGTAGTGCCCAATCTTCTGACAGCGATGGCATCTTGCCGTTCGCTTGTGACTCAGAGAGCGAGAACTCTCGCTCTCGATGTAACAGAGGTCCATTGGTTCGGGACCTCCTGTTTCCTGTAGTCTCGTCGGACGATAGTTTGACGAGTTAGCCGGAGACTGTCTCAGGCTGAAGTCTTCTTGTTCTGCACACGCTATCGCCTTTTCTAGCGTATGGAAGTCCTCTCGGAACATGCAGGTCTTCACCGGTCCATCTATAAGAGCGTAGATGAACACGTTGATGAGCGTGTGCTCATCAACATGGTTTTCTGTAACGCTACTAGCAAGGTAGCGTAGCTGTTTTGCGTAAGCGTGCACAACACGCTTACCTTGCTTTAGCCTCAAGAGTGCAGAGCGTGCTCTGGACTCGGCTCTTGGTGGCTCAAACGTCTCTTTGAGCCCAGACTTCAATACCTCCAACGACTAAACACGTTTGGGTCGTAAAGCTTGATCCCTAAGACCCAAATCTTTGCTCGTCCTGTCAGATTTACAGGGAAAGGTGACTTGCATCTCGTCACCCTTGATGGACGACGGGCCCTGATGGCGTCGTCTAACTCGATGAACCATCTCAAAAGGGAATCTTCATCGGTTCCCTTGTACCTTGGGATATCAATCTTCAAGTTTTCGGGTAGACGCATGTGCATCGGCCTGCCCATCGACTTAGAGAGCCTCGCTGTTGTGTCAAGGCTATCTTCTGTCTTCCGAGGCAAGTTCCCGTCGTAGGAACTTGTTGATAGCAGCATGTTGCTGGTCTCTGCTTCAAGACTCCAACATACCACTGACGGCGGGTTCGCCCATGAGCACACTCATGTGGCCGACTACCTCCCATTCTGAGTCACTCAGATGGAAGTAGCCTTTACGTGTGACGTGAAAGCCGTCGTCTTCTAAGTCTAACATATACATGTTGGACGGACACTAAGTAGTCTTTGTACGGACTACAAAGTACTACCAGGTGTAACGGGGCTTTGTTTGGGGTGCCACGAAAGTTAGCGTACACTAGTACGTGCAGAGGAAGCTAATCTACTTGAACGACCCGGTCGAGTAAAGGTAAAAAGAGAACCGTATTGAATATAGTGAAGCTATCAATGTAAGTTCAGTCTTTATCTAACCATATTAATCTACGTCGTCGTATGACGACAACCTGCTCACCACTCATTGCGCGCGTCTAGCAGCGATTGGTGGAAATCTATGGTTAATGTGTCTTATATCAACCATCCTTGAAGCAGCGCATGAATATTATCCTACAAGAGGATAATCTTTCTTCAGTATTATCCCCCTCGGATATTATCGGTAGGGAATTGTCATGCTAGACAATCTCCCTTTTGACACCGTCTGGTGTCAATATCATGTAACGAGCTACCCCTTTACAATAACAAGGCGTGTGCTGTCTTAAGAAATTTGGACAGTGAGGTCATGAGTGCTAGTTGTTTGTCCGCTGCAAATCTGTTTTGTTGTTTGATGCCCCAGTCTTAAAATAAGTCCTTAATATTATAACTGGACCGGCAGTAGCCCATTATTGCTCTTTTTCTGATGAAATAGTAATATCGCACAAGTTGCATTAGTTGAGGGTATTCCAACCATGCGCAACATGTAGAAACCTAAAAAATTATTACGTAGATTCATTAGGCAGCCAAACAGTCCAATTTTTGAATTTGGCGCATGTAACGCGTGCTGTAGGTGAAACATTGAAGGTTTGTGACGGCTGCAGGCTTTCCGGAGATAATCAAACATGGTACACCACGTCCGTACTTATGTAGTGCCTGGATCGTTGAACGGCGAGAAAGCAGGTCGACTCTGTGCGAGCCACGTATTTAGAAGACTTCTAGGAGTGTCGCACACAGTTCAAAGTGGTGCTGTCTTGTATTAGTTAAAATTTTATTTGCTAAACGTGTGCTCGCCCTAAGATATTAGATGATCATATGTGTCTAGGCGCTAGATTTCTTATTTTGGGTGAGCCGAAGATTGTCCTGAAATTCCACATCATGTTACGCTTGTACGAACCTTAAAAAGCCTTCACTTATCTCGTTCGGCTTTTAGTTTTCAACCCGAGAGCGGAGCGGACACCCTACTCTGAGGCTGGTGGACACGGGTATGCGTGCACGAATAATTTTTTTTGTAACGCATCTCCAGCCTTTAAAAAATTAAATCTTGAACTCTCATGCCTCCGACGTTCCAGTTTCCGATTTTTTTTCGTATTCAGTACGCACACTGCGTAGCTTTTCTCGAGCACGTTAGCGTCAATTGCCTTCTAAGCAAACCCAAGAGTGCCCTATTTAACCTCTTGTGGAGGCGCTAGATGGTGTTTTGTCGTTCATCTTTAGATACATGTGCAATGAACAGATTACAAAGCCTTTGTTAGAAAGGTAAATAGCAGAAGACAGTAGTAACATAGATCGTTTTTGCAGTCGAAAGGGATAATCTTTTACGTACAGACTAGTCAATCATGTAGAGTTGTATCAACTAAAAAATAATTAACCAACAACTAAGGTGTAGCGGAGCTACTTAGCGCTCCTTATCAAAGAAAGTCTTGGACTCAAACATTCTCAATGTCATAACAAACTAACAACGACGTACATCCCTTCAAGCGCACAACCGAAACAATCCCGCTTTCCAAATGGATTACGATTCACCGAATCACACACCAACTAGTCACTATTAGTTTAACAAGAGTAAGCGCCTTCACGAGGCTAATGATCTTGACAACACACTACGACTTGACTGGCACTTGTGTCCAACGATTCAAAAGGGGACTGAACTTCATTTATTCCTCAACTACACTAATAAAACCAAAAGACCTTGTCTGGATGACTTCGACATTGCGATCCTACGACAGAAGTCTTATCCCTTATCCTTACCCGATAAGGTGCGGTATCACCGTAAGTACATGGTAAAAATACTGTACCACTCAGATCCCCCGATCTTTACTTGGTGTAAACACACGACATAACCGGTTCAAATAACCGCGTGTAATTCCGTTACACAGTGGGGTGTTTCGTTGAGACGTTCGAGGCAGATTTCAAGGCACCGGATGAAAGAAACAAATGCCCAGTGACCTGGCGCAGCAGAAGCAATTTCGAGATGCTGCCAGGAGTATATCAAAGAACGTGATTTCGTGATGCAGCTCGGATCATTGCTGCCTCGATGTTGTGGTGTAATTCCGGAAGACGGACGCCTTACCACTTTTAGTAATCAACGCAGTCGTCATTTCGCTCGGGAGTCTGTGTTTGTGCTGCCAGCCATGTCAGACAGACGAAACGTTTGGTGCCGTAGCTGATGTGGACTGTAGGGACGTGGTGCTTCTTCAATCGAGCTGTATCTACCAGGCCTGGAAGTGCTCACGCTGACGATGAGAAGTTGCGGTAGTGTACAATGAGGTCACAGAAGCCCCCATTCGTGGTAAGCGTAATAACAAAGAGAAAGAGAGACTTCGAGGAACCCGTCAGTGCTTGCGCTCAGCGTGGAGCATCCGCTTTGCAACGCGTGCCATTTTCAGTGACATTTGCGCTCCAAGCACTGCCGCACTTGCATAACTTGTGTTTCTGTCTTAGGTCATCTGTGAGTGATAAGAAGACCACCGTCGGAACAAATGATGTGCCCGAAAGACTATGCTGTGATTTTTACGTCTAGCTGCCCATTTGTAGACAAATTGCGTGGGACGCCATAACGTCGCAGGAATCGTTTGGTTGTTTCTTTTTAGGCTATGGATCAATTGATCATAAAGAACGTGCTCGATCTACACTAGCGTTACCAGTACAATTTGTGTGCGTCTTTGGAGTCTTGAACACGAGCTACTCCTGACCGGTCTACTTCCAATGGTCCAGCTAATGGGATTGCCCATGTACCTCACAGTTCGCAATCGCAATTCAACGAGGTCCTGAATGCAGCTTGCTAGCGTTTTCAGCGTGTTGGACCAAGGGCGGTCGACAACCTCGGCCTGATAAGGAAGGTCAGCAAGTTATGTTAGGCCTGTTGGTGACATGATGGTGATACCGAGATGGAAGACCAAGACTCTTGCTTAGCAGCTCAGCTCTATTGTCGTCTAGAATATGAACAATTCAGACTTACAAAACAGTAACTTTCGTCCAGGCAAACTACCACACCTGGCACTTCGTCGTCGGGTTCATGGGCGAGCCGACAGGGCACGAAAACACGCGAGCGAAGTCGTGCGAGTTCTTCACAGCTCCATTAACGAGCCACTGGCCAGGCGGCCTCGGGCCGGCTAAGCGTTGAATAATGGCAGCGTCACTCCTCTTTGAGCACCAACTCTGGGCGAACGAGATGAAGAAAAGCTTGTCAGCCACATCGGCAGGTAAGGCAGGCTCTGGCTGGCTTCTTGAAACGGATGTTGCTCCACCTTCGTTGATCTTGCTCGGCTCCTTGGCTTGCTTGGCGACGTAGGTCTGATACGCATGGAAAGACAACTTCAGACCGCCGTTGTCCGCGATGTTCTCGCTTAGAGTGAGCTCACCGTTGACGTGACCGAGCACTTTGTTTGGATCCTCGCTACTCATCACCGGGAACTCGCTATATTGCTTCACGAAACAATCTGCCCGTTGTGAAAACTCCGTTGCTGTGAAATTACTCCACCAGTTTCCCAAGGTGCCGTCCTTGTCATACGATTTTCCCTCGGCGTCAAAGTGATGCGTGATTTCGTGCCCAATGAAGCTACCGCACGTCCCAAAATTACGTACAGACTGCTGTCCGGGAGTAAAATTTGGTGGTTGAAAATATCCAGCAGGGACACCAACCAGGTTTGCCGTTGGCTGGTAGTACACATCTAAAGCAGCACCTGAACCATCCCAATTGCTGCGGTCCACTGGACGACCGATCCGGTCCACCGTTTGATCAGAGACGTGCTCGTTGATAATCCGCAAGTTTTCGGCAAGTGGTGCGTCGCCGTGTAGTTTGTACGGGAAATGGTCGGAACGATTCGAATACCCGATCAAGGTTGTCATCTTGCCCAATTTTTCGAGAGCAATTTGCCGAGTGGGTCCGTCCAGCCAATCCACATTCGTGAGATCCTCTTCAACAGATGCTCGAATTTGCATCACAAGTTCATTCGCGATCCGCTCACTATCCTTGTCAAAACGAAGAAGTGCATAGTACTTGCCGACCAAGTCAGGTAAAGTGTCGGTGACTTGCTTCTGACACACCTTCCATCGTGGACCACGACTCTTTTCGCCCTTAAGCGTCTGCTCGAGAAAGGAGAAAGACGCCTGAGCGAAAGGCTCACTCAGAAATTTTGCTTGGGCGCTGACGTATTGGTACGTAAGCATAGCTTTCAGAGTGTCGAGCGTCACGGAATCTCCAGTCACGAGCTCTTCAACACGCTTATAGTACGCAAGTGTTGTGACAACCACATATGCGTTCTGAGCTACAAGTTTCTCCAGTACCCCCATTCCACGCATGACCTGCGCGACGAGTAACGGGTACTCCTCAGCAGCTTGAGCTACACTCATACGGTTGTACGTTGCCACTGGATCCTGTAGCTTTTCCTCCGGTACATACAACGGTGCAAGTATTTGCTCGAAGGCGATCACTGAAGAAGCTTGCGATGCTGCATTGTGTGAATCCCAGCCAACCAGTGAAAACAACTCCACGATGTACGCATGGAATGCAGCACTGACCGAGGCGAACTCTTTGGGGTCCAAGTAATACTCCGGACTCGGTAGCGAGAGACCCGTCTGGGACGCGTGTAAAGCATCCACGGTCGCATCTCTACTGTCTGCCATGACATAGAGCCACGTCAAAAAGTTTGGTCCTGTAATTGACAATTTGCCAGCCAGCTGAAACAGTTCGCTCTTGCTCGTCGTGGCGGCAATCTGCTTGATCGCTGGCATCAAGAAAGCCACCGACGCCGCGTTTTCTGTCGCGCTGCTCGTGTTGCTGAAATTCATGCATGAGTCGTACAGCTCGCCGAGTAGTGGCCATCCTTGCTGCATCACTTCTTGCAGGACCTTTTCATTGTCGTCCCGCATGGGATCATTAGTCAGGGACACGCGCGATTCGCCGTCGGGAATTCGTGCTTGTTTCAGCCACGACCCGCAACTGAAGGCGTACAGGTCGTCGCATGGATCCACTTGAGTGTCCACATGACTCAAAATGTCATGTGGGAGAAGCTCAATCCAATTGGCCGCGTTGGAGGCAGGAGCTTGAGGCTTTGTCGGGGCATATAGCGGACCTCCTTGAACAATTGGGACCGCGACGGCAAGAACCAACATGCCCAAGCTCCCAACTGTCCAGGACGCGTTCGACTTTTTGCGCATGACCGACGGCGGTGGGGCAGCTCTTTCACTCACTTGCAAGTCCTCGCAATGGGCAAGTGGCTGTCCATCGTCTTGTGCTACTTGATGTAGCGTCGATGAGGCACCACCAACGTCCACAGGAACATCCGCATCGGCCAGAAGTGCGTTGCCATTGTCGAACTCGATGGCAGCGCGCAAGGCCGTGTCGGGTGAATTTAGAGTCATGCCAGGATGCGCGGTTCGAACCGAGAAGTCAACGTATAGTTGCAGTTGACTGATGCTGTGAGTTCCAGAGCGCAAATTGCGAAGTGATCGATTCGGAAGGCAAGAAAGGTGACAAACAGCTTACTTAATGTGTCGCTTGAGGTTTTTGCTTACGATTACACACTAAGAGGGCATCGTTTGATCTTACTTATACGTTGTTCTCACAGGTTTTTACCACAATCCTTGCGCTTTTTGGTCGTTGAAGATAGGTGCAGCACGGACCGATCCCCGTCGAGACTCTGGAAAGCGGCGTCGTTGTTTTGCGACCATGTTGATTCCACTCAGCACAAAAGTTGGTCTGTCGTCTGCTGGAAAGAGCTTTCTGGTAAAAATAGGAATGTGAGCGTAGTTTATGCTCATCACACGGGACTGTCACACCAAATGTTTACATCCACACTGTCGACATCGTCGTCGATTATTTTCCACTTCAACGTCACTGCGACGTGGCATAAGGAAGGAGTTTTATGTACGTCTATTTACATGTTAGTTAACATGTGCAAAATGTCTGAAAAGTCCTGAGCCAGGACACTAACACCGGAGGTCGGTGTTTGTCATGACTGATAACTCGTTAATCTAAGTGCCCTTGGGGCTCTTGAACGAGTACTTCAAGGCAAGCATGAAGCCGCGCCCCGCTGACGTCGCCGCAGTCCTATGTTCTCGTACGGCGATAGCCTTAAGCTGTCGCATCCCGCGCTCCCAGAAGATGGTTGCGCTCCCAATCGGTGAAGATTTTTCACAATGGAAGACCGCCGCATTGCGCCCCATACATAGATGCTTGTGACATACGGAACTTAGTACGAACCAGATGCGTAAAAATTCCACCTCTGCCGCGGTGTGGCCGTCTTGGAAACGATGAATCAAACGCTGCCGAAGAAAATGCGATAGCGGAGGAGCCCGACGATAGGTACAAGGTCGCATGTTACGATGTGGCATGAGGTTCAAGAAGGCTCATCTGCTCAAGTAGTTGAAGCGATCCTGCTGGATCAAAATCAAGTAGCACCGGCTACATGGCGACCGGACGTTGTAGACTTGGGTTTCGTGAGTGACAGTAAGAGCCGGTCGTCCGATCACGTGATAATCTTGTCACTTATGCGAAATGAACATGTGACGACCTAGTTGCAATGGGAGACCATAGCCACGGTTTCCCTTCCGCTAACTTTTAGCCTCGGTGGACACATTTTTCTGTACGCTATCAGCAGACATGGGTTATCGGATAACGGTGGTGTTGTACGTTGGATTATGCCAATTAAAATGCATAAAAATTAAAAATAAACGTTAAATAAAAGAGATGTACCAGAAACAGAATCGCAGTCAATATTTGAGAGATTAAAAATTAACACTCATCCAGAACCACTCACTCCTCTTCCATCCCCAGAGTAAAATCTACCCAAGATCAGCAGAATAATAACCCCAGAGACCACTAATACAGGTCATCACCTTATGGTTGTAGAATTGGAGCAGGTTGTGCCTCAAGGTCAGAGTACCTAGTCATCCTGATCATTTGCTGGGGTTGTTGCTATTCGTTGGGAATTTGGTGTGATTTCTGGCTAAATCTCCTCCGATAAGCTAATCGACTCTATTGAAGGAGACGAGAGCGCTCATCCGGAGATCAATAGTTTAGAGATTCTGGACGCCTATTAGGACGAAAGGGAATGAATAGAAGGAGCTGCAGCAGAGGAGGAGGCAATTACAGACAGATTGACCAAGTTCGAGAAGATCCCCATATTAGGTAGTGTCTGCACCTTGCATTTTCTGATCCAGGAAACCCACCCTCCTGCGTCCAAGCTCTCCGCAGTCTACAGGATGACATTCGCAGTGCCAACACCACACAAACCATTGTAGATACTTGATTTCGATCGATTAAATCCCCCATATTTAGTACAAATTCTTGCTCTACACTAACATCTAGCTTTATGGCTATTAGTGATAAGTAAGAAGTTGGCGACCATAGACCACCTCGGTAGACGGCCAATTTTTACAAAATAGCGGATGATATTAGGTATCGGGGCAAAATTAATCAGAGAGAGCATTGTAGTTAAAGCGATCCTGCTCGATCAGAATCAAGTCGTACCGGCTGCTTGGCGACCAGACGTTGTGCGCTTGAGTTTTGTTAGTAACGGCGAGAGCCGGTCGTCTGATCACATGATAACCTTGACGCTTATGCGATATGAATATGCGGCGGCAACCGAGTTGCGGTCGCTGTAACGGGGCACCCTGAAGCTTGTACTGGTGACAGTACAAGCTACTTATCCTGATGACAGAATAAGGCGGTGCCTCGTAACTTCACGTACACTCGTACGTGCAGAGGAAGACGGTAAGAAGAAGCGAGTACTCGGTTAGAGTAAAAAGTAGAACTGTATTTATAATAGTTAATGTCTGCAATAAATCACTATTTATCTTCATCTATCTATGTCTGAATACAAATGTGCTTATCAATTATCTGCTCACCACTCATTGCGTGCGTCTGTCGTGGCGCGTCTTCGTTGGTTGATATAATGGCCTATGTCAACCAATTAGGAACTACTTGTAAGTGCAACAGAATATTTGTCCTTATGACAATATTATGAGAATATAACTCTTATAGTTATATTCTATTAACAATTTCTTATAAATTGTTATGTAACGATTCACCCCGTTACATCACTCCCCCCCTTAACCATCAGTCACTTTAGTGACTGATTGACTAAATGGATACTCGTCCCAAATCATTTGGGACAGGGTTTGCACTTGTTGGTCCGCGTCCACTGTATAACATCTCATCGCATGGTTAACAAGCCCATGCGATGCGCGCGCAAGGCCGCCGAGAGCGCGTCCGCACGTCTCTGTGCGGACGCCGAAGCAGAAACAACAGCAACTGATGTCTCATCAGTTGCTGAATCGACCCAGCCTGTGTCACTTGGTGACGCAGGCGCTAGTCATGAAGACACTCATGTCTTCACAGAGTACGAGCTCGGTGTCTCGTACTCTCCTGATACGGATGACGGATCCGTATCGACGGCGATTGAATCTAAGCCGCCTGCCAAGCGTGGCATGGACGATGCTTTGCGTCGCAGCATCTTTGGTTCATCTGATGAATCAGATGAACCATCGCCGAAGCGAAGGCGCTCGAGGTCGCGAGACTCGGGCGCTAATAGTGGTGTCGGTTCTCCTATGGACACCACTTCACAGCGAGGTGCCAGTACTTCTGTCGGCACGTCGCAGGAAGAGCGGGACCGCAATGTCTTGCGTCTCGCTCCAGAAAAGAAGGCATGGATGCCTCCAAAATCCGTCATGGATCACTTGTCGGCGACGACGAGTGATCGTTATCGAACACGATTGTTCGATTTGTCAAGGATCCATCACCTTGACCCCAGCGCGAAAAACTATCGCGCTGAGAATGAGTTCTTCATCGATGCTTTCTTTAGACATCGATGGTACAGTGGGAATCACAAACGTGATGGTCCCTCACTGCTTCAGGCGTGGAACGCCTACATCCATAATCTCGAGGATGTAGGTCGTGACGCTTGGAACGACAAACTTATCAAAGCTCGTGATAAGTTTGAAAAGCGAACCCCGACAGGTGCACGCTACAAGCTGCATCGTCTGTCAAGGGAGAAAGGATTACCCTGCCTCTCTTGGGGAGACTCGTGCCCGTGTTGTGTGAACAACTCTGCACGAGCACCTAAGGAGGCTTACCTCCCTAATAGCCCGTGGTGGCGTGTACCTATCTCTAGTGAGATGTACGAAGGGATTGACAACCTGAAATCCCTTTACGACCATGCCGGGAAAACTTTCTCCGGCGGTCCTTCTGCGGCACAGGATGTGCCGCGTCGTACTGCTCGACCAGACCCAGTAGGTCAACCGTTAGTTGGGAGCGGGGCTCCCAAGTATTCCAGGACGGGGGATAGCCGCGCCACCGGACGAGATAACTCGTCCGACGTCCGTTCACATCGCGTTAGTTCAAAAGCCGCTCAACCAGATAGCGCTGGCCACCGCAAGAGTCCTCTAATGGAGGTGGAGGAGGAGGGAAGACGCTCTCCGCACAATCGTGGGGATCCGTGGGTTCCCGAGAGCTTCTTTGATCGCGTTACTATTGCGTTGCGCGGCGACCTCGAGCATGGGCGGGACAGGCGTCTTCAACTGGCGGACCCTGTCTTGAAGCATCGAGCTGAGTTTGCCTTTGCTTAGCTTGAGAACGAGAGATCTCTGACATCTCTTCGTGACGAGCTAAGGGTAGCTCGTGGGATTGTTGATCGGTCTCGGGATGAGATAACTGCTCTTCAGACCCTTGTTGATGCCCACCATCGGGAGCACAAGGCTCTTTGCGAGATGCTTGAGCGCAAGGGCGTTCTTCATCGGAAGAAGCAGCGTACTGATGGTACGGCTTAAGCCGACCAACGTAAAACGTGGGATGCGTTCGCATCTTACGTGGTAACTCGATCGTGTATGCATTGCCTAGGCGGTGCAATACACGAAATGGGCCAATGTACTTGGGTAGTAGTTTACTGCTACCCAAATTAGTCACTACATGCTTTGGTAGATTAACCGTAGACAGTAGGACTAAGTCACCTTTACTAAATAAAAGAGGGTTTGCCCTTCCATTCTTGTCAGCGTTTTGCTTTTGCTTATCCACCGCTTCGGCGATGGAGTCTTGCACAAAACGGACTACCGTTTCACGAGCCGGTATGAACTCATCTGATGACTCGTTAGCTTCAGTGTGCTGTGAGCGCACTGCAGCGACAACAACCTTTTCTTCAGTGAGGGCTTCCGCACTCTCACTGGCATCATCTTCTTCGATATCGATGTTATCGATATCGGCATCAAACGCAATGACTTCTTCGTCAGAGCGTGATGAGCGTGAACCAAATCGGTTTTTGCTCGCGCGAGTCCCTCCCCCCCTTAAACCAGAGTTACACTCTAGTAAGGTGGGTACACGCGGATGGCGCAAGCCATTCACGTAAAACGGTGTATGGGTCGTGGAA